CTATGTCACTTCTGACCTTGTAAACCTGCCCCCACACTTGCCCCCTGCCCATCTGTGTTGAAGAGCCCTGGCAGTGGGTGCTGCATGGATTTATGTGACAGTAATGTTCTCTGTTCTGTCCTTCAAGGAACTCCTAGTGGCTGCCCTGCGTTTTTGACCACAAAGCATAGGGCTCTTGCAGTTCTTTTGTTTCATGTCCCAGTATCTGGTTTCTGAGTGAGAACAGTCAATTTGGAGTGGCTCTGAGTTGGCACATCCACATACGCACAGAATAACAATTTCAATATTTGTGTGCATTCGAAAAGTCTCTTATTGGGCATCTGTCAATAGCTGCACATTAATGTACTCTGTGATGATTGCTCTGCACACAAGGCAGATAGAGGCTTTTTAAAAAAAGCCATCTGTCTTGCCTCAATTTCAAATTAAAGCTGAAGGTATGAATGGAATGTGAACTCAAATACCTTCTGCTGCTTCTGTTGGGCCTTCTTCTATGACAGCTACGCAGTGTTTGATTTTTGAGGGGGATGTACCTATGTGTGGAGGGATTACTGACTAGAAAGAAGAAAAAGCAGTAATTTTTACTGTAAAATGACTTTGAAGCATAGACACTTTGTGAGAATAAGCAGTCTAGTAGCCTTTGTTAGCGCTGGTGCTACAGGACAGGGGCTGAAAAAAATGGGGAGAAGCAGTTAAAATGAACTTGCTTCAGGACCTTCAACCAGTCTATATATAAAACACATGCTAAACATGCATTAAAAACATCCTCTTCACTGGTAGGTTGGTTCTCTGCCTATGACTTGATCTGGAAAAAATATTTAGCAGTGCGCAGGTGATTTTTCACGCTCAGGCTCTGAAGTGCAAGGCTCACTACAAATCTACCTTGCAGAGTAAGAATTAAAATTTAGTGAAAAATGATATGGGTTTTGGTGGAAAATTAATCTTTCTAAATCTCAATAAATGCCAATTAATCGGTGGATAAAGCTGTATGTGTGAGGATCAGAAGAGTCTACTCACTGGATTTGCAACCATCCTTTATTTGCTGTCTTGTCTGTACCTTGACATAATTGGTAGTACTAACTGCATAAAGTGTTTGAAGATCAAAGATACAGAACCCTAGGAATAGCTTAAATAAGGAACAAGCCTGATATTAATCAGGTTGTTACATCTCTCTAGTTTTGGCAAAGGAAAATGTATGAAGAGTAATAAAGTAAAATTATTTTGAGATAAAACATTACTATGTTTAGTCTTTTCGGATGAAACATGGCAATTGAGATCATAAGTTGGTTTTTAAAACGGGAGAAATCAAATGTGAAATTTTGGTGGGAGAAACTACTTTTTACTATGCAACTGACTCAGTCCTATACTTCTATATGCATATAACTGTTTTATATTTATTAGCTGGTTTGTTTCTGACTTGCATTTCTCTGTTAATACGCACAGGCCTTACCTAGGCCTTGTATTTTGTAGCTTGATCCACCCATCTTTTAAGAACTAGAGTCTGACTGAAAAATGAAAAATTAAGTGGCCTTTAGTGAGATCCTTTCAATAAAGAACATGGGGCAAGAGGCTAGTGACCAGATGAGTGCTGAGTGCGATAACTGCAGGCTTGGTTCCTTTCCCTAGGTTAGATACTTGTATAATACATTACCGTGGACTCGGCAGCCTTAAGGAGACTTGGTGAGGAATGGATTGGGAAATGCATTTTTCTGAAGTTCAGAGGAGCTCATAGGATGTTGTAACTGGGCTAAAAGCAGGAAGAGATGTGGTTTAAAAAACAAAACAAAAACTAAGAATTAAAAGAATTAACACAACTTTTGTCATCGTGAGATGCAGTTAAAATTTCAAGCATGTGGAGCTTTAAAAATCTGTGGCAAGAATCTGGAAGGTGTATGGGGAAATATTCTGTAGGATTAAAAATACATATGTATTTCCTGATTTCCAGGCTCTCTTCCTGGGCATGCCATTTCTCTCTGTCCTTCTGACATTAGGGCTACTAACTGGCTGTACTTAGAGGAACTGCACGTGAGATTTTGCTTCCTCCTTTCTGCATTAAAAAAAAATCAAAGCATCAAATAGCTGTGATTTAAACAAGGGTGCAAATCTGCACTGCCTTTATCCTTATCTTTTTATTGTTTTACATCCCTTTTATGGAGGAAAAGGGAAGCGCATAAATAACTTTCCCTCGGGAGTGAGAGAGGGGTCTGAAAGTGGGAATTACTTTCTCTGCAGTCTTTCCTTCTGTAGGCAGTCAGATCTGCTAAACTGAAAACTTAGGGAACAGTTTCTAGTAGTTTGAAGGAACTAATGCATTTACAAAGCACAGATATTACTCTGGCTCAAGCCTGCATAGTAAAAGTCTATTTGCTGAAATCCCTTCTGTAAGAAAATGTTTGTGTGCTATTTTCACTGAAAATTACTCTCCAAATGTGACTTACAGATAGCACCTAAATTGCCTAGTTGATGGCATTTGGGGAGGGCGGGGTGACTTTTGAAAGACATAAATATGCATATTCATTATGAAGAATTTAAAAATATTTAAAATCTTAAATGTTTTCAGTAAGAAAAATGTTTTAGCTGTTTTTTTCCAAGAAGTAATGTTTCATTTTCTAAAATGTCTTAGACACTAGTGAGATTGTGAACAAAAATGATTTTTAGTAACACTTCCAAGTTATAAATTAGCAGTAATATGTGAGAGTGTACAACTACCTCCTTGTTTTCAGGATAGCCCGCGAGGAACATTTCTTTATTTGTGAAATCTTACTGGATCAACCAATATTAGGTGTTTCATTCGAGTATTTGACACGCAGCCTGTGTTGCAATCGCTTGCTGTGCTGTGCAGATTTAATGATCTTTTTAATGCAGCAGGGATGCCCAAGGTGCCTGGCTTGGTGCGGGGGCAGCAGCAGTTTGTCCACTTCTTTGTTGCCTTTGAGGAAATGAGTAACATTCTGCGTGCCTTCCTGCCTCTGCTTT